TAAGACTTTGCAAATAGCTTATGTGAATGTTTGCACTTGCAGACATATGACAGACTCTTAATCTCTTGTTGGTATCAAATGACTCATTATCTTTTCTTGAAGGAATGTGAAGAGGTCGTTAATGGTATCACTACTCATTATCTCACTCGCTCTTTGATAGAAGTGCGCTTACATGGGTGAAATGGTACAGTTTTCTTATTCTGGGATTTGATGGTGAAATCAAGGGAAATTTTGTATGGGAATTAGACTTGGAAATTCCTTTCTACAGATTGTGATGGATTGACATGCAGACAATGGCTCGCGTACGCGCCGCATTAACATTTCCGCGCTCCATGTTCGCATTGGAAAGGGTATTAAGGAGGTATGTGACTTCGGTAACGCAGTTACCCATGTACCAGTTGCGGGCACAGAACTGTACATCGATGCGATGAGTATCCTAATGTTCGGCTTTTCAAATAAGTTAGTTGCAATCATCAGAGTGAGATTGTTTATTGACTGATAATCGTGGTCAAAGTTTCAAATGTCTCACGCTTTTCTAGAAAGAGTACGGTGAAAATCGGGATTACATAAGATACCCGATTGCAAAGGAATGCTGTTATTACTACGTACAGAGTAGTTTTTCCCTGTAACACTGTACGACCCTTTAAGGCCTATAGCAGGTGCGATATCTTGCCAGTTCAAAGCGGAAGGGTGGGGACTCTTGCGGGAATCCCAGTCATTTAGAAGTCGATCGGCTTCTCGACGTCCACTGAGGTAGGCACCGATAGCAGTTTGGAAAAGCCTAAAGGTCAGTTAATATTCCCGGTTTTGGAGAAGGGTATGATGAAGTTAATCTTACCTGTGATGCGTTGCCTCACCGGCGAACAACACTACAGGTCTTTTATTGTGCTTTACTGGGATTGATAGACGTGAATGTGAAATTCGAGCTTGAGCTTGTGCAAGACTCATGTAAGAGTAAGATCCTAGCAAAAGCTCGTTCTTCGTCAATTTTGTTCTGAAATAAATGCAACATCAGGTCATATTAGATGCTTTCAAAAAACCCGCTAACCTGATGATCTCGCTTGGTGGTGCGATGCTTTGGTCATTCTTCATATCCCTTAAAAGTCTTGTAAT